TGGTATCGATACATGCACAAAAAGACTTTGACAGAATTCAACATCACTTTATTTTTTTAAAAAAAAAGCTTTGAAGGGATTGGGAAGAGAGAGGGACATGCCTCAACATCACAAAGCTTAGGCATGATAAACCTACAGTTGAAGCTGTCCTGAAGGGAAAATTGAAAGCAAGTCTGCATAAGGAAGGAAGGTGAAGAAACTCAGCGATCTCCACTCTCTGATGTTATAAGTTTGGACATGATCCTTCTGCTTCTAGTTCATGGACGAGTTTGATGAGTAACACTGTTATTTCAACATGAAAAGTCACAGAATCAACCCTGGTTCCTGGGATTTTCCTTGTTTGGACTAGCAATGTCATTGGGTGTATAGGCCTATTCAAATTGTTTTAATATTCTTGGTGGAGCTCAAACACCTTGTGTACATTTCTACTGGATTTTCCATTTTGTTAGAATGTAGGTTTTGAAAAGAGTCCTTCATTATCTTCTGGATTTCTTGGTGGTTTTTTGCAATGTTTGCATTGGCATCTCTGATTTTGTTCATCTGAATCTCTTCTTTTCTTCATTAATTTAGATAGTCATTTGTAAATTTTATTCTTTTTTCACTAATAGAGCAACTTATTGTTTTGTTGATTTTATATAAACTGTATTTTTAGTCTCTAGTTAATTTATCACTTATTCCTTACTATCTCTCCCCATCTGGTTGTTTTGAGGCTTGGTGTGCACTTATTTTCCAAGTAGGTTTACTCACATTGCTTGTCTTATCTATATGTATACAATGTACACTAAGAACTTTCCTTTCCATACTGCTTTTGCTGCACCCAGAGGGTCTGGTTTGAAGTGTTATATTTTTCAGTGAATTCCCACCTATTGTTCAGTAGTGTGTTATTCAGTCACTGTATGTTTGAGTGTTTCAGTAGTGTTCTGTTGTTTAGGAGCAGTTTAATTGTGATTAGATAAGATACCAAGAGTTATTTCCATCCTTTTGTTTTTGCTCAGGCTGACTTTGTGTCCTAGAATATTGTTAATTTTGGAAAATGTTCCATGTGCTGCTGAAAAGAATGTGAGTTGTGTGCTTGTTGGATAAAATACTTTCAAGAGGGCTTCTATGTCCATTTGAGTAATGGAGTTATTTAATTCAGAAGCTTTTTTGCTGATTTTTGTTTGGTTAACCTATCTTTTGATGAAAGTGGGGTGTTAAAATCTCCCACTATTACTGTGTTGGGGTCTATGAGGTTCTGTGAAGCTAAGAGTATTTGTTTAATGTCTTTATGTCTTCCATGGTTTGGTGCACAAATATTATCCACTATGATTTCCTCTTTGTGGATCATGTACTTTGTTAATATGTGATGGTCTTATTTGTCTCTTTGTACTGATTTTAATGAGGAATATATTTTATCAGATGACAATGTGGATACTCTGCCCTTCTTGCAAGATGTATTTGCATGATGAATTTTGTACATCTTATAGCTCTAAATTATTTATCTTTGTGTGATGAGTTTCTGTTGTTATAGTTGTTTTGTATTTTTTTCCAATATACTGCTTACATCTTTAGGTTGGAGAGTTTACCCATTGATGTTGAATGTCACTATGGAGAACTATGTCATTGTTCCTGCCATCTTGTTATTTTCCTTTCATGTGCTTTTTTCCTCTTTGGTAGTTACTAAACTTCTAATGATCTTTATTCAATTCTATATATTGAATTCTTGTATTTATTCATAATGTAGTGATTTTATATAATGCTGTGTTTACTTTGATTGTTTTCTATTTTCTAATTGTAGCCTTTACTTTATTAGCCTTGTAGTTCTGATGTAATTCTATGGATTCTTTTTGTTGCTGTTGTTTGTCATGGAAGATTTGAGTTTCACCATCCTTTGTGATTTTTAGCCAGACTGGTTACACCAGTTTGGGTTGCCAATTGTTCTTATTTGGGGGTTGAATTATACCACTCCAGGCTCTCTCTGCATTCAGTTGGTATGGAGAAATCTGCAGTCATTCTCATCTTTTTTCATTGTAATAAAGTTCCTTCTTTAGTTTGCTGCATTTAAAAATGTTTTCTTGCTTTAGAAGTTCAGCGTTTTCACTTTGATGTGTCTAGTGGTATTTCTTCTGGCACCCTGTCTGGTATGGGTTCTACATATCTCTACCAGGTGGATGAGAATCCACATTGAGTTAGGGAAATTTTCTGTTCTTATTTTGTTACATGGCTTATCAATGTCCAGAGCTTTGGACATGAGAAAACCTTGTAGCACAGCCTGTGCATTAGAATCTTGTGCTGTGGGGTACAGGAGCCCTACACAGCTGGCCCATCAGATTCCAAGCTCTGCAGAGCCAAGGCCCCCAGCAGGGAAGACAGAGAATGCTCTGGGTTCCACTCAGTATGTCCCCAGGGCTGTGAGAACTAACTTTTAATAACCAGCAACATCCTGAAGTTTACTTTCTGATGAGTTTGACTTGGAAAAAACACACATCTTGAAGTTGTAATTCTGTTCTCTAAGTAATCAACTTAATATGTTCTCTCAGAGATTGCCTTGGCACTTGGGAGAGAGTTTTGCATGTCCTGTGGGGACATCAGATTGAAGTCTGTAAACAAGGCCGACCAGACAGCAGGTGACACTGATTGATGTCCACTAGGAGAAGCATCATCACCCTGGTATGGTTCATAGTCAAGGCTGTGCACGGGCAGCCTATCCACAATGCCAGGCTGCCTCCAGGAAGCTGTGCCTCATGAGCCGGCATTGTGCAGCTCTCAGCCTTGACAGGAACATGAGGTAGGAAGAGGTAAGAAGACTTTAGCATCCTCCTTACCCCAGCTTTGCAACATTTCCTGCTCTGCATGTTGTAATTTGAAACAGGGTGGCAATAATGTTTGCTGAAGGGAACATGGAAACCTCACTGTTTCTTAGATTGATTTTATCTGCAGTAACCTGGGAGAGGTCTAAATTGTTTTACTCATAATTTATTCATTGATCTACAGATGTCTTGTATGTGTATGTATGTACGTATGTATGTATGCATTTATGTTTATTTAATTACTTTTGTCTGTCTTGTGGCTTGAATCAGGGCCGGGGCTCTGTCCCTGTGTTTTTGTGCTCAAGGCTAGGACTCTATCACATGAGCGTCTGAGCCACTTCCAGCCACTTTGATAATTTATGAAAGGTAAGGGTCACAAACTTTCAAAGTCTGTTGACTTCAAACCATGATCCTCAAATCTCAGCCTCCTGAGTACCTAGGACTATAGGAGAGTCACTGGCACCAAGCTACAAATGCTTTTCTTATAGTTTATGGATTCTCTGAAATGACAGATGTTAGAATTTCAGTCTTCTCAGTTTCTATCAGTTTAATTTTCATTACTATTTTGTATTTTTATTATAAAGGTGATATACAAGGGTTACTATTTCATAAGTCCAGTAATGAATATAAATATTTGTCAGTTGTGAGGCATCCACTCAGGGTGTACATGCTCCTCCTGAGATTTTAAGCTCCAGGCTAGCGCTCTGCTATTTTGAGCCACAGTGCCACCTTGTTCACTACATTTCCTTTTGGATAATGCCATTGCTAACTTTACCTTTCCCAATCTTCCCATCCAGTTCTCAACCACAAGTTGTATAGTTTCTTTTCCACATAGTGTCTACTGTGTACCACTGATGCATTCACTCACACTCTCTCATAATTGACAAACTCTCCAAACAACAAGTGACTTTATTCCACCAACTTTAATGGAAAAATTTCAACACCCATAGATACATTGCTAGGGACATCATAGATATTTTTTAACATGAAAACAAGAACAAGATCTCTGCATGATAAAAATATTCAAAACTTATATATACTAAATCTATCACACAGGAGATTTTCTGTATCTGTTGTTATATTTTCCTCATTTCTACTCCGGTGATCACTGCATAGGGTAATCGGTGAGCTGAAGCCTATTTTAAATCTTAGTCTCCTGTACCATTGTCCCAATGTTTTATCATTGTACAAGACTGGTTTGAGTAGATTTTTGTGTCATTTCCCTCCAGAAATACACTGGCATTTCATCTCTGGAATCCCAAGATAATGACTGTATTTCATATCAAGGCATGCTAAAATAGAACCACGGGCAGTACAATGCTTCACTGAGTTTTTAGGGAGTGTGTGAAACCATGTTCACTTCTGATATATTTGGCCCACTCCTCTTTTGAAGCTTATTTTAACAGTTTACCCAGGAATTTTCCCCAGTTTGTCATTTCTTCACAGGAAACATTCCACCTGGTAGTCTTCCTGAAGTAGTAAACATTTCTTTGGGGATGCTGGAGCTTGAACTAATGGTCTGTCCCTTACCTTTCTTATGTATTGCTAATTAGATGTGTTTTCAAATGAGATGTTGTAGCTGGACACTGGTGGCTCACACTTGTATCCTTGCTACTTAGGTTCATGATATGAAGCTAGCCCAGGCCAGAATGTCTCTGAGACTTATCTCTAATTAATCAGCATAAAGATGGAGGTGAAGCTTGTAGCTTTTAGCAAAAATACAAGAACACAGGGTACTATTCAGGCCCTCAGATCAAGCTACAAGATTTCAACACACACACACACACACACACAAACACACACACACACACACAAAGCATATATAATAATGTGGAGCTCAAACAAAACATAATATCCAAATTTCTGTGTACCACAGGCCCACGGTTTTCCTAGTGAAGGCACTAGGATCCATGGTGTGAGACAGGGTTTCTTTTCTATTATCTCAACCATTTCTGTCCTCTAGATTCTCTAGATCTTTTGTCTTTGGCATCCCACTCCAGAAGGGCCACCCCTAGGCCAGAAACTGACTTTGATCTTCCATATTCTTTGTGAAGCTCAATTTGGAATGGATCCATAATCCAGTGCACTGATTTTCTCTCCTGTATAGACTCCCTGTTTATCCCTACATCAAACATCCCAAACACCTTAGCAATGTTCTCAGATGCATCAATATGGGGGCTTTTCCTCATAGCCCAGCTGTGTGTTGGTGTCATGGGGAACTCCCTGCTCTCCATGCTCTATCTGTACATGTTTTTATTCCAACGTCAGCTGAAGAAGCCCATCGATGCCATTTTCATGCACCTGACTGTGGTCAACATCCTGAATCTCACCTTCACAATGTTGCCAGACATCATAGCATGCTTCGGAATCCAGCGATTTCTGAACGATGTGGGCTGCAAGGTGGTGGTGTACTTCTTAAGAGTCACCCGGGGACTGTCCATCTGTACCACCTCACTCCTCAGTGCTTTTCAGGCCATCACCATCAGCAACAGCCATGCTCAATTGGTGTGGCTTAAATCTAAGCCTTCCATGTGGATTTTCCCTTCTTTCCTCTTCTTCTGGGTCATCAATATGGTCATCTATGTCCCGGTCATTACAGCTATGAAAGTCAAAAGCAATTTCACCTTGGTTGGTCCTGGGTTTTCCAATGCATATTGTGAGACTCGGCGGATAGAAGACAATAGATCATGGTATTTCATCTCTATCTTATTATTTCGAGATCTCGTGTTTGTTTTCCTCATGATCACCACCAGCTTCTATATGGTGACCTTCCTGTACCGACACCATAAGACAGCCCGGCACCTCCATAGTCCCAGGCTTGCTTCCCAGTTGGCACCTGAGAACAAGGCCACCCACACCATCTTACTGTTAGTCAGCTGTTTTGTGTTCTTCTATTGCTCCAACAACATCGCAACTTTTTGTTCCTTTTACACACCAGTGAAAATCCCAACACTGGATGTGCTGATTTGTATTTTGTCATCATGCTACCCAACCGTATGTCCTTTTTTCTTAATGAAAAGTAATAAAATTTTTTCTAAATATTCACTCTCCCTCTCGATGATAGGAAGTACTGGTTGTCATAAAGCATTCAACAGCTGATTGGACAGCCAAAACTTTTCTTCAAAGTGCTTAAGTTCCTAGAAATATATCTGAGGAAGAAATTATCTTGAACACGTGAAGTGTTGTTCCAGTTCAGAGATGCTATAATTCTTTCTTTTTTAATTTTTTTTTGGGGTCCAATAGTGGGGCCTGAACTCTGGGCCTAGGTGCTGTCCCTCAGTCTTCAGCTCAAGGCTAGCACTCTACCACTTGAGCCACAGTGCCATGTCCAGATTTTCACTTTGCTTATGTGGTGCTTTGAATTTTAACCCAGAGCCTCAGGCATGCAAGGCAAGCGCTGTACCACAGAGCCACCTTCCCAGCCCCTATGCAGTAATTCTTAAATGCTGAGGTACTTTTGTGTCTTTGCACAAAAGTGTTATATTGCTTAGTTGCTTAACAGATTATTAATGGGACAAATGAAATACATTTTCTGTACACTATAGAATTAAAAGCTTTTCTATTCTTATAAGACAGTTGCTAGACAATCTATCTCTTCCTTGTGTTCTCTTCCTACTATCTGTGCTGTTTGTTATAAAGAATTCTATTAGATCACTCTAAGAATGCTGGTTCTCCAATGAAAGAGTAACATCTAGCCACGGAAGAAACAGCATGTGGCCAAAGGACATAGCCAGAGCCAGGCACAGGTGGCTCATGGCCATAATCCTAGCTAGTCAGAAGGCACCTCAGTTCTCAGGCACCCTGGGAAGAAAACTTAGTGAGACCCTTACTTCAACTAATCACAAGAAAAGCCAGAAGTAGTGCTACAGCTCAAGTGAAAGAGTGCTAGCCTTGAGCAAAAGAAGCCCAGGGACAGTGCCCAGGCCCTGAGTTCAAGCCCCAGGTCTGGCATAAAAGAAAAAAGAATGGACCTTGCAGCCAATGACAAAGAAAATTGTAGCCAGTGATGAGGCAGGAGGCAACCAATGACAATCAGGATGCAGTCAATGCAGAGATGTGTATACTCGATGACACATATTCTTCCATTGTAATCTCCATGACTCTACTCTGTGACAAGCAGTGTGGCAAAGGCACAATGGAGATCAGTGTTCTGATTTAGACAACAAAGGAAACCTTCCAAGATAGATCCGTGGAGAGAGTAAGTCCCTACAGGTCCCATCGTCCATCACCACTGTACTTTCTGGAGAAGTATCATGAGGAAAAGGGGTTCTGTTCAGTCTGGAGCCCACTGGACATTGGGTATTTTATTCTATTCTATTTTTTTGGTCAGAGACCAGGACTGGAACTTGGTATCTGATGCTTTTGCTCATCATCTGCTGCTCCACAAGTTCCCTATCCCTCCACTGGACACTCAACCTAGTTTGAAGTCTACTCCCCCTGTTATCCTTCCTGTTCACAATCTCTATACACAGTTGGCACCCTGATAGTGTTTTAGTCCTCGATTTTACTTTGGACCTTGCCACACCACATACACTTGGTTGAAACTTCTGGAATGAAAGGTTCAGGACAGGAGTGGAACCTGGCATAGACTCAATCCCCAGGCATCCCCCAGGAGTTGGTGGAGAACTGGATTCCCTAAAAAAGACAATCTGGTCAGACTTAACCCGTTGTTCTCTGAGAAAGAGAAGTTCCAGTGTGACTGCTGCTCACCACAGTGACCCAGGGCCCAGTGGCAGGATGCCTGCCCTGTCCCCTGACAAGTCCCACCTGGGAGAGCGTCTGTCCTGCCTCCACGCCAGTTCAGGCCTGCCATTGTACACAACAACCCTTGTTTCCTCCTCTAACAAGCAGCTCAGTATCCAACCACCATGGGAACCCAGTCCGAGAGGCACAATGGAGAGGAAGCTGCCGAAGCAAGTGTTTGGAAAGGAGCAGAGATCACAGCAGGCAAAGCAGCCATGAAGATGTGTCTGCAAGGAGTCCGTAGCTGGGTTCAGCAAAGAGAGGCCGGCGCAGGTGGGCGGAGCACTTCCATAAAGCTGCCTGTGGTGGATAGATGGCTTCTGATTTGAAATCGACAACAGAATAAAGGACTGAAGTTCAATGAATAGTCTCTGGCCAGAGAAACAAGGTCAAATGCTTAAGTTTCTGCACTTCCAGTGGTTCCTGGAATTTCCAGCTGAGTGGACATCTTTCTGTGACCAGTGGGTGTCACGCGACCTTCTGCGGAGTCTGCGTGAGAGATCACGTTGGACAAAGAGCTTCAAGGAAGCATGCCCTCAGGAAGGAGGTGTTGGTTCAAGGCTTCCCATACACTTGGCTGCACCTTTATAGCCTCTACCTTTATTCTTACTATATTCTTCTTGGCTGTACATTCGTTGCCTTTATTCTCGTTTTGGCTATTTTTCTATTGATCCGCGAACAGAGCATGTTGTATTTTTCCAGTCCAATAGAAACGGCTTCTCTAAGTAATAAAGACTAAGGCCAAAGATTAAATGTGGGCGATGCCCCAATCAATCTATCATCTGATGTGACGTTGCCTCCAGAAACTCCTACAACTTCACAGGCAGTTTTGCAGCTCATGCATAGTAAATATAGAGACTTAAAATTTCCAGATATGTCCAACAGACAAAATCAATGAACTAAACTAAGTTAGAAAGAGTTATCCCAGTAGTTCGGAGAGTTCTAAAAAAGAAGGGACCTCTGATTATAAAAGAAAAAGAAAGATTCTCCCAACAGTTATGATTAAGTTTCTTCCAACTTACGTTATAAGGAATAGATGGTGTTTTCACACAAAATATAAAGTTAGTAACATATTTCCTGAACCAACCAAGAACCATTTCCTTATACAGGAGCTTAAAAAGATGAAATTAGTTGGATAAAAATAAAATTAAAAAGAGCAAAAGTACAGCCCTGTCTTAGGTTTGTTAATTATTAAACATAAATAAGACTGAATAGATGACGTATTCTATTAAACAATATGCTAGACCTGTTTTGCATCACTTAGCTTAAACAGTTGGTGGGATAGTTATCAATTTTCATGTAATTCATTAATGCTTTGCCTTTAAAAAAAATTGATTACGTGCTTAAATAAACAAAGAATCTATGTCACAATCACACACTGTATAAAAATGTTAATTCTCCTCAATAAAGATACACTCAGATGCAACACTTTAGAGTCTCTGTCTGTTTGTCACATCGCCGACTCCTTTGCCCACCTATCCCGAGATCCCTGTCCCGTCGGTCCCAGTGCTCCAGCCGAGCTGGTCCGTCCCAGGACCTTAATATTTACTATTTATATGTGTTGAGCTTATTTGCATCCTTAGAATAAAATCAGCCTTATTGAAGGGCGGGGGGAACCAAGATGGTGAGGGGGCAGTAGGGAAACACGACAGCTCTCCCCAACGAAAAAGAGAGTTCGAGTTCCAATGCTTAATCTCCCCAAGAGATGACACCAACAAAAGGGCGAACACTCAGAGAAAAACAGGAGGTGGAAAATAAAAAAAAAAAGAAAGAGAGGAAAAGAAGGATTTCAGAACAGAGAAGAGCAAAGACCCCACCCCCAATATTCAGTGGCAGTGTGGCAGCACACCAAGCCGTGGCCAGCCGGCCTGGAGGGGGCTACCAGAGTCCCAGAGACAGAGGGGGCTGCTTGCAGATCACCCGCGCAGAAGCCACCTGAGGTATCGGTTTGCAGACCACTGATGACCACAAACAGAGAAACCTACCAGCCGGGAGTCTCCACGAAGATCCTACCCCAACCCCTCAATCTCCATCCGAACAGAGAGGCTCCATCCCGCCAAAGCTGCCCAGCCGCTGACAGCCAGCCCGGCAGAGGCTGCCGGAGACCCAGAAACACTGGTAGCTGCCTGCAGATAGCAAAAAAGCTGGTATCGCAGATAGCGCAGAGGTACCGTTGTCAGACCCGCTGATTACGACACAGAGAAACCACTGAGCCCAGAACTCGGCCCCACGACGGGAGCCCCCAGAGCTACACGGGACGCCTACAGAACAGCAAAGCAAAAGACCTACAAGGAACTGGTGCTGATCCGGAGAGTGCAAATCCCAGCACTCAGAACCTGTACGGAGGCCCAGCCCCGCCCCTCACCCCCTGTGTGGACACTATGGACCCTACAGCTTTGACAAAGGCAGAGACAGGAGGGAATCACACAGAGTCACCACCACCCAGCCCAGCCCGCAACCACCCAAACTGAACTTGGATTGCAACAACAACTGACGACCTACACCACACAGAAACAACTAGCTCCAGGGTGAGTACCCCACAGGGGACAGTGTATCCCTCAAGGGAGACAAGAGCTGGAGGGAATCCCAGACCCTGACCCAGACTCCCTACCCCAACACCCGGACCACAGGACCCACTTAAATTGGGAACTGTTTGAGAGCTCCACCATCCCATGGAGCACACTCTGCTGGCCAGGCTAGAGCAAGAGCGCCCCTAGAACAGGGGCCCTGGGTCAAGACAACAAACAGTAGAAGAAATTTGACCTGTGTACCCCAGGCTGCATAACCTAGGTGGTATACACAGCAGCACAGGCCCAACCGGCACACCCTAGGTGGGGGTCAGGACCAGGCGAGGGGATCCAGTGCCTTAACAACACAGCCAACTCCTCCCAACTGAAGTCAAAAGCTGAGCATACACCTCAGCAGAGGGGAGAAAAACGGAACTGCACCCCTTGGGAAGCACGCCTAGGACAACAAAAGACCTGGAGGTTCAGGACAAGAGAATCCCAAACCCCACCAAAACCCGACCCATATACTCTAGGCTGGGAATTGGGCAACACAGGTTGCCAACACCTGATAGTAGGCAGGAGCTCAGGCTGGTAAGGTGGCTCAGCAGTAGAGTGATAGTCTTAGGTGCATGAGGCTCTGGATCTGATTCCTCAGCCTCACATAAGCAGAAAGGGTCAGAAGTGGTGCTGTGGCTCAAATGGTAGGGTGCCAGCCTTGAGCTGAAGAGCTTAGGGACAGTAAACAAACCTAGAGTTCAAGCCCACAGCAGGGCCCCCTAAAAAACAAAAACAAAAAACATCAGGAGCCCATATCAGACTCCAGCATCTGGGAGAGTGCATCCAGAGCATCCGATCTTGCCAAGAACACCCGTAGGAACAAATACGATCAGTCTAGACTGCTCAACGCTTCCAAAGGCAGGAATTGCCAGCAATCTACAGCAGACAGCCGAGAATCCTATGTAGGTCAGACCATCAGCTGGAGGTAGGCCTCCAACAGAACCCAGATCAGGCATAGACTCTCTCTACCAGTACAGAATTAGCAACCAAGCAAAGACAGACACACCAAAACAAAATTGCAGATTAGTCTCCAATAATCCTCGACCCCCCATGCTAAAATCACAGAGAAAAATTACAAAGTTTATCACCAACCAGGATAGCAAGCTATCCTCAATAGCCAACAGCCACGCAGGGGAGAGGCCGAGTGGCAGCAAAGCAGGAATGGAAGACAAAAGCCACATCCAAGGGATGCTGGAGAAATAAAGCAAGACTCAAGAAATAAAGCGAGAAATAGATCAGAAATTGAAAAAAGCACAAGGATGAGCTATCAAAAGAGATACAGGATATCAAACAAGAGATGCATGCAAAAATAGAGGCAGCAGAAACCTCACTAAGATATGAGATGAATGCCAAATTAGAGGCAGTACATACGTCATTAAGAGGTGAGATCAGTACTTTGAGAACCAACATCGAATCCATAAAGGAGTCCATGTCCTCCATGCAAACCACAATAGGAGCCATGGTCAACAGAGTGAACGAAATGGAATGTAGAGTGTAAGATACAGAAGACAGAATACACCAACTGGACCAAAAAGTGACAGATATGGAAAAATCACTCAAATTAGGCCAAAGGGAAATTCAAGAGCAAGCAGATAATGACAAGAAATTTAAACTTCGTATAATTGGAGTGGACGAAGGTGAGGAATTTCAGAGCAAGAAAATGCAACACCTATCCAACAAGATAATCGGTGAAAATTTTCCCCACCTCAAAAAAGAACATCTTACCTACATAACAGAAGCATATAGAACACCCAACAAGCAAGAGCCCAGGAGAAACACTTCTAGACACATTATAGTAAAAATGATAGATCTGAAAAATAAGGAAACAATCTTGCACACAGCAAAAATGAAGAAGGAGCTATACTACCATGGGAAAAAAATTAGAATCACTGCAGATCTCTCCACACAAACACTGAATGCAAGAAAGGCATGGGAAAGTACCATATGAGCCCTGAGAGCCAATAACTGCCAACCCAGACTGATATACCTGGCAAAGCTAGCATTCACACTCGATGGAGAACTGAAAATTTTTAATAGCAAAGAAAAAATAAATGAATACATAAACATTAAGGCAGCATTACAAAGAATACTAAGACCGGGGATACAACCTGAAGAAAGCAACCAGGAACTGGGACCTGCACCCAGACAGGCATTAATCAAAGTCTAACTGAGCAAGC